GGCTGATCAGTTCACCGTCAACGGATCAGTGTTGGAGCTCACCGATTCCAACTTCGACTCGGCGATTTCCACTTTTGATTGCATCTTTGTTGATTTCTATGCTCCTTGGTGTGGTCACTGCAAGCGCCTCAACCCCGAGGTCTTGTAATCTCCCTCATCTTCTCTCACATAAAAAAAACGTATTTTTGTTCGATTGTACGATCTGGGTTTGTTATGTTTGCTATCGTTTAGTCGAATTTAGATGTAAAGATCGATACTTTTAACATTTGATCGATCCGATTTCAGTTTTATGGATCGAATTGTTGTGTAGCTCAAGATCATGGTTCTGTGTGTACTATGTTTTTGTAACTTTCTTTGAGTATTGGTTTAATGTCTTGTACACTTAATCTGGATTGGTTTCACTGGAAGAATGTGGCTTTGTTATTGATGTTCCGAATTTTGTTTGTTGATCTGCTGCAGTTAGATGCAGCTGCTCTCATTCTTGCTAAGCTGAAGCAGCCTATCAGACTTGCTCGTCCGTTACTTGAAGAAGTTTGTTGCTCCAGTCAGACTCAGCCGTCAAGGATTTTGTTGAAGATGCTGGGACTTTCTTCCCTGTGTTTATCGGGTTTGGGTTTGGGTTGAATGAATCGTTGATATCAGCATTAGGTGGAAACGAAATCTGTGTATAAACTTTTTTTTTTTTCTTTTTCCAGATGCAAAAACGATACTGTTTTTGTGTTAAACCAGTCAACAAACCAATTGATTTTGGTTAACTTTAAACCGAATCGAACCCCGTTAGCCACATGTAATCCACGTCACCATCTGTTTAATGGATAACAGATTTCGTCTGCGGTTTGTATAAACTAGATTTTGATCCAGACCCAAACGCCAAATAAATAATTAGGTTGACTCATCGTTTTAACATATATATTTTTGAATATTTTAACGTGTATGACAAGTAATATGATTTTCAATATCTATAAATATAAAAAAGGATATGTATATGTATTATGATATTTTAATTGTAAAAATGATCAAAATATATACAAATGTTATTTATTTCAATATTTTTAAGTGTAAATATCTCAATATATCTTATCTTTATGTTTTTTGTTAACCTTTATAAAAATGATCAAAACATTAAGCCTTTGCATTTTTGTTTACTTAAATTTATTTTTGTGTTTTGCTTATTTTTTACTTATGTTTTACATGGAAAAACAAATGATTCCAATTTTATTTCAATTAGAAAAAACTATGAAAATTTAAGTAGAAAAATAATGATC